AAAATAAAGCAGCTGACTGCTTTTCAAGATTATTTCAAATACAAGACGAGGACAGTGAAAAAGCCACATCAGCAGAAGGATCAGAAGACAATGAACTTAGTTCAACAGAAGAAGAAGAAGACATGTCACCCGATATACAGAGGTTTGATGACATTCCGCAAACAAGCGATAATAAAAATGATATTATAACCGAACATTATGACGAAACAGATATTTTAACACAAAATTTTGGAGAATGGAAAAAGAATAAAGAAACTGGAAATGTTACAATAAAACCTAACGCTCAAGGAAAATTATGCAAAACAAGACTAACAAAAGATTTACCCCCATTCAAAAAAGGAAACAGGTTAAAATATTTTGAAAATCGAGTTAAAGAATTTACAGATAGAAAAATGATTTCATCAATTCTGAAGTACCTAAAATTAATCTACCAATGGAAAAAGAAGCATGAAAAATGATTAACTAAAGCTACAGAGATGTAATACAAGACAGTATTTGCGACAACAAATAATACTATTACATCATACACACTAGGTTAACACAAGATTTTAAACGTAATACACTGTTAGAAAAAACCAAAACTGTATCTCTCAACTATGCACCTAAATTAAATAGAATAAACACAAAATGTAAGCTACGATTTACCACTCGACATAAATGAAATTGACAATCACAAATTTAAATTAATTGTTTAAAACAATATGTAAATTTTTGAGTAGAAAAATGAGGACTAATGTGTGTAACAATAAAATGAGTAATGTTGACGTCGTTATATCCTACGAAAGACAACCACATAGAAACTCAGAAGTACATATTAAACCTTATTTAAATAAAAATGTAAATCTTAGGTTTTAGGGACTAAATCCTATCTAGCGAGAGGGATGTTATAGTCTGCAAAAATTTATATCCCCACCTGTATTGTTTCATATTCGACATGAGCTGCAAAACGTATTTGCAACTCAGTCTTATTCCTGCCTTTAAAGTGTAATATTGATTATTATAATAAATTGTCACTCTCAGAAGTGATTAAAAGTAAACTCTGCCTATTTTATAAATTAGACCATAACACTTGTCAAGAATTAAATTATTTTCAATACAATTTTAATTACATTTTCTCGAAAGAATTCAATTATTTATTGAAAAAAATGGTGATAATATTATTGAAATGAGTTTAATTATTTTCAATTTTTTTTATAAATACTTTACAAGAATTAAATGATTTTCAGTAAATCGACAATTTAATTATTTCTGAAAATAATTGAATTCTTAAATAAAATTTTATTAAAACTGTTTTAAATAATTGAATCCCTGCAAAAAAGTTTATTATTTCTACAAATAATTGAATTTTTGCCAACTTAAAAAAATAAGTGAATTTTTGAGAAGAATAAATTAAAATTGTATTTAAAAAAAATTGAATTCTTGAAATGGATTTTATTAAAAGTTTTCTGAATTATTGATCTCCTGTGAAAAATTTTTTTTTTTTAAAAATAATTGAATTTTCTTGGAGAATTTTCACAAAATTTCTAAAAATAATTGAAATGTCGAAGAAATCAATTAAAATTTTATTGAAAATAAGTGAAATTCTTCTAAAAATTTTATTATTTATATAAAAATAATTTAATTTTTTACGAAGATTTTTATTATTTAAAAAATGACTAAAGAATTTTATTACAATTATTAAAAATAATTGAATTCTTTATAAAATTCAATTTTTTTTAAATTTTTTGATAAATTCTTCACAAGAATTTAATGATTTTCAGTACCTACATTAATTTTTAAATTTTAAACATTTAAAAAGTTAGAAAACAAAAAAGCAAACAACAACTAACTTCAAACTGCGAACAGATTAACGAAATACAACGATTATTAATATAGATTAAATTGTAAAAGGGACATCCCCTTTTGTTTACATAAGTACTTTTAACCTAATATCTAAATCTGTACTGTACAAATTTCAAAATTGTTAATACAATTATGACTTCACTTAAAAACAAGGTTAGCAACTAGTATAGGTTAGAATACTAGTATATATAATGATTCATTTGTTTTTAAAAATGCACGTCAACAATTTGAAAATTTGTGAAAATAAATATTTCAAAAAAATATCTGCCCGCCCTTCGGGCGGACACATTCTCGTCCGCGCTTCGCTCGCAAGTTTCAGCGCGCCTCGGGGCGCGCGAATTTTGGTCGTCGCGCTACGCGCTCTGTGGATTGTTGCGCGCAAATAACTCGTTTCGCTCGCAGTCGTCCACGAACGTTGTTAATTATTTGCGTTCTTTTTTCTGTTTCCTATTATACGTTTCATGAAACCATTTTTTTTTAAAGTTGCTACGACTTTAAGGATTACATTCGCATCATATATTTTTGTTTGCTGATGATTGCGAGATTAAATGAACTTAAATGCAAATTTTTGTTCTTGCTGATCAAGTTTTTTGTGTACGTGATTTGAAGGGCTGGCTGCAATAAGGGGACGAACGCGAGATTTGGAAGGGATACTGCCAGTCGGGTAGCAGTGACAAGCCTTGAGCCGCTCACTGCTACCTGACTGGTATTATCCCTTTCAATCACGCGTTCGTCATCTTATTGCAGCCAGCCCTTCATTTGTAAATAACAATTATTTGTTTAAACTGTTGCTGAAATTGATCAAATCATAAAATATCTTCATGTTTTTTTGCCCAACTTAATTATTTGCAAAATTTAAAAATAACCCTAGTTTTTAGGTCTTTTACATAATATAAGAAGCTGATTGAATAAACAAGTATTTATTTTTTTATTAATTTTATTTATTAAAAACAAAAAAATACCCGAAAAGGGTATACATGAAGAATAATAAAATAAGCTATAATAGAACACGTAATTTATTGTTCTAAAATCTAAAAGTACTTTAAATATCTTAAATTAACATATTTCAAGTAACCTAAAGGTGAATAAAAAACACAAAAATTTTTTTTGGGGCCTTCCAGAAGAAACTACTGAGTACACTTCCTATGAGTTTCATTGCAATTGGAGGGGTAAAACATATAAATAATTCAAATTGTTTATAAAATTGTTATTAAAAATATTATGAAATTTTTAACTTTACAATCATGCAAATATTTTCATTTGAAAAAGTGGACAACTTTGTGTAATTACTGTAAGTTTTATTAATTTATTGTAAACAGCTTTTGAGTTATCATTTTTTTTTAAAATGTTGTAATATTTTGTTAATGCAAAAAATTTTTTTTTCAAAAAACAGTTAAAAGTGTTATTTTGTTTTGTTGTGAACTACAGACATTTATAAAAATTTTAACATTTTAGAAAATCAATAAAAAAAAATTAACATAGTTGAGCTAGTCTGGCCCAAAATTTTTTTTAAAAAATTGAGTTTTTATGAAAAAATTAAGTTTTCAAAATTTTAAAACTACTGTAGTTTTTGTAGTTTTTAACGAAAATGGCTGGTTAAGGAACATAGCCTTCATTTTTACACCAACTTTAAGTGTGTTAAATTTAAAAACGATCAGATAAGATTTTCAAAAGTTATTGTGTCAACAACATTTTGGTCTGCAGACGGACATACATATATACAGCCAGACAGACACACAGACAGACGTACTCGCCGGACCATGTTTTTTAGGTTCAGGGGACCCCAAAACGTAAAGATTTCATAAAATTAGCAAAAGTCAATTTTCGACCAAAACTAATACTTTCTCATGTGATGAGAATGTAAAAATTCTCCTGAATGCCAGAATGGTTTAGTCAGCTTAAACTTAATTATTGTTCATCATTATTTTAAGAATTTGTGTTAAAAATTTGATAATAAAAAATATAAGGTGGAGCTTTTGAAAAAATTGATTTTATTTATTTTTAGAAAATCATCCCCTATTTTGATAATTTTTAATATTTTTACAAATTTCAAACAGAATTTGGAAAAGAACAAGACCATTTACAAGACCCAAGAAAAAAATTAAATTATACTCAAAAGAAAAAATATGACAAGCAAAACAAACTTTATTTTTCATGTAGAATAATATATATTTTAACGACAGGTAAATCTATAACTTGAAGTTAGTCGACTTGTCTGATTTGAAATGGATTTAGTCTGTAGTATTTGACATTTTTGGTTACATGAAAACTGATCTGAATTCCATTATTGATGTTCAAAATGCAAAAAAATAAGAGAAAAATAATGTAAACTATTATAAATTAAGTTAAAGCTTCTTTATACGTTTTACACCCTAAAAAAAGTAATCTTATATTTAATGAAAAATTTTCTACTAATATCCTCTCTGTATTTCCTCTCAAAACATAATAATATTTTATTCTAATGTAGAATATTTTTATTTTTTGTTTTAATAAAATAATGACAAAAGATTTTCTTTAGTATTTTCTTCTTTAATTAAGATTTTTCGTTTTAAATTTAGAAAATGTGAAGGAAGGAAAAGGAAAAAATATGATAATATCGTTCAATGTTTCTCCCGTTTGATAGTTGCGCCTTTGTTTTTTTAATCTGTCAATATCAATATTTTTGTAATAAGTGTTGATGAGTTTAAGAAATAAAAAAAAAAAATAAAAACATGGAAAAACGACAATTAGATTTTGTCGTTTGTATTCATATGAAGTTGAATACTCTAATGTTTGGAAATGTCTTATGTACAACGAACTTATGATTTCATATCCTTTGAAATTAATTATTATTCCAACAAGCGGTTTGAATATGATTTCCGCACGCGATTTAAATTATAAATAATTTATTTAATTTGCGAGTTTATATTTTATTGTTTAAATATTAAAAAATAAATGATTTAAAGTTTATTTAGTTTGGCTAAAAGTTATATATATTAAAATTTCTGAACATCAGCAGAAAAAAAACTTGTAATCAAATTACAAGCGAACTGGTGATGATTAACTGATGAGCCATCAGTTAATTTTTCAAAGTATTTTGAAACAGTAATAGTTCCCATACTGTTATGGAGGAATAATAAATTCATTCTATTAAGTAATAAATTCTAAGGATTGCATACCTTTCATGCGTCGCTCTACAAAAATACCCTCCGTGTCTTCTCGTCTCCACATTAATTTAGGTGTAGGAAATCCATCTGCTTTACAAGTAAGTGTAACATTTTGATGCTCTCGAACAGCTATTGTACTTTGGGTTGAATATGAATCCAATATATTCGGCGGAACTGTCAAGAGAAATAATTTCAACATTTTGTTAATAATATTATAAATATGACAAATATTTATATATATTAAAACCAATTATGTGCAAATTTTGCATTTTTCTGAAACATTTTCTGTAGAATTACTTATTCTACTAAAATTCTTATTTGAGTAAATATTTGCACATAAGGATTAGGGCGCATTAGAGTCGATCTCATGTGGCGTAGAACTCAGAAAATTAATCAAGGTTTTAACAAAAATTTTTTGATAGTTTGAACAAAATTGAATAATATTAACACGTATCTCTAGGTAACTAAAATACGCCACACTAATTCTTATAGAGATTTTAAAACGAATTTCTAGCTATTTTCATACAAATCAACTTGTCTTTATTGAACATTTTGCAAACATGTTTGTCATATAGTTACCCAAGTAGAAATGTAATACTGGCATAGTACTGACTGACAGTATAGCAGTACTGACTCCAGTACTAAATCAGTACTGGGAAATCCCTGGCTGGTAACGCTGTCCAGTACTGATTTTTTACCGACAGTCATAGTACTAAGTCAGTATTAAAATATCACTGGCAGAACACCGCCTAATTACTGATTCGCAGGTAAAATTTAAAAAATTTGGAAAATGCTGTAACGCGTTCTCTAAAACAAAATTTACCTTTAGAAGCTTATATTAATTTGTTATTTGATTATTAAAGAAAAGGGAGTAATTTATTGAATACTAATAATTATTATTAATATTTCTGTAGTAAATAAACTTTTATGAGTAACAATAAAAATGTAAATAATTAGCGAAATTGCTTTTATTGAAATATAAGTTTTAAAAAAATTTTTCTTTTTTTTTCATTAATTTATACAATCTTATTTATTCAAATTAATTACTAAATTATTATTATTATTGTTTATAATTATTTAAATTTATATTTTATGTAACACTGTTGAGAATTATAAACTAAACACTTAAGGCTAAGACGGAAAAATATCGCACGCACGGGGGATCGAACCCTAGACCTCGAGGACGCAAGTCGCATACACTAACCACACAGCCACGCAAGCTTGGAAGTTATTTTACTTAAACTTCCTTTTGAATTATGGGAAGGATATATACAGTGCTATAATAATGAATTCGCTGTATATTATATTTATTTAAAGAAAAATTATTATAAATATATGTTTTAAATATATTTATATACATTTTAACAAGACGTTATATATTAATTAATAGGTATAGCATAAAAATATGATAAAAATTATTAATTTAATTATTTATTAAAATAATAATAAAAAATATATATTTATACATTTTTAAAAAATAAAAAAATGTTATTATTAATGATACATAATAGTAAAAATAATTAATAAATAATAATTTATTATTATTATGATATACCTATTAATTAATAATGAATAATATATTAATTAAGTGTTTGATGTTATTGTTGATGAATAATGTTTTTAAAAATCTTGGAAAATATTTTAATAGTTAATAAATCAAACGATGTTGTTATTAATAGTGGCCGGTTTAATGTCATTATAACAAATTTTGTTTGTTTTTTAACTCCTTCGCAGTACTGATCTGGTGTTATGCCAGTTTTCTGCCAGTACTGATTTAAATACTTTTTTAACTCCGACGTATTACTGATTCGGTTTTTGAGTCAGTATACTCCCAGTACTGATCGGGTTCCGAAAGTCAGTACCGACGGTCAGTACTGAGTCAGTACCATGCCGGTGTTTAACTCCGTCCTAACTCCGGACATTTCTACTTGGGTAATGATATTTAAAAAAATATAAATACAAAAAAATTACTTTTTGTGGTTTTTTGGTATTGGATTGTAATGTAATAGAGAAAAATTAAAATATTCATAAAATGTATATTTTAACATGAGGATGCATGATTTTTCATGAAACGAACACAAAAATTGGAGTTTTAACTTTGCAGTAGTTTTTAATTATAAGTTTTATGGTAGTAAAATTTTCTGTTGAAAATTGGTATTTTTAAAAATTTTAACAGCAATTGCACTACAATTGAAATTTTTTTAATTTTTATGACAAATTTAACTTTAAAAATTGTAAAATTATAATTGATTTGTAAGTTTCTATACATTAAAATATTACTAAACTTTGCAAAAAATAATTTTTTTTTCTTCAACTCAACTATAAAAATTGTTCTAACTTACAAAAAATGACAATTTTTGTAAGTTTTCTCAAAAAGGAATCCGGACAGCACGTAAGTGCACGGTAACCTTTCGTCAATATTATTATGCAATGTTGCAGTATAGTGGTAGTTAGCAGTGTTGCGTCGTCAATATTGTCGCCTTATATTGCAGCAAAGTTTCAGATTATATAAAGCTAGCAAAATATTGCTCCTTATAATTACATTAATCATGTTATTGCTTTTTGATAAAAATGATTGAAAAATGGTTACCAAAAAGATTACATGCTATCTGGGGAAATAAAGTAGGATATGAATGATTTTAGATGCTTGCACGATTCAACTTCAAGAAATAAATTTTTAAAAACTTTATAAAAAGACGCTTTTGATATTGTAAAATAGCAATTTTTAATTGAATATCGAAAAATAAATGAAAAAATTAGTAAGAGAAGCAGGCGTAAAGTGCCAACATCGAACTTTCAGTTTGGTTAATTAATGTAAAAAGTTGAAAGAGTATAATAATGAGATGTAGTCTAAAATTGGAACAGATCACAAACCTTCAGTTTGGTTATTTATAATGTAAAAAATGGAGATGAGATGAGATGATTAAAAAAAGAAGAATTTGATTATTAAAATTGTTTATAAAAGAGGAATTGTCAACACAAACGAGGACGCCTTATCAGGAATTCTAAGGGTTGAAAAGACAACAGATTGTAGATCTAAAATAGTAGAACAACAGCAAGAGTCTTCTACAAGTGTAAACGAGGAAAATGATAATATGAAAATACATATACGGACAGAAGGCAGTAAACATACGATAATTGAAGGTTATTACAAATGTAAGAATATGGGGATTAATTAGCAGAAAGCGAGCAATCAATAATATAAGCACGAATTTATGTTAATAGAAGTATATCTTTTTTACAGGAAATAAAGAAAAAAGACAAGGATATGCAAATTATTCTTTCTTGAAATAGATAAATAATTAAAAAGTCTTTTGAAATATAATTAACAAATAATGGTGAGAAATTTACTTACAAATACTTATTTTTTTATTATTATTATCATAAATTAAATGTAGTGGTCAGACTCGAGCTCAACATTTTATTTATTTATTATATCTTTGAATTGTATATAGAGTCAATTTAATATCAAATGTTGAGTTGTAAAAATGTATCTTATATTACAAGAGAATTCCATTAGTCTTGGTTAATAGTAATTCACACTATGTCATTCATGAATTTATTGAATTATTGGTAATTAATTATCAATCGATCGAAACTGTTCAAGAATTGAGATTGCTTGTCACAACTGTCAACTGGCAACCACTTGTCAAAGATGTTGGGTCTGTTATCATGTTGCAGGGGCGAACCCAAGGGGGCGCATGATTATTCCCCAAATGTCATTTTTCCGAAATGTCATTTTACCGAACTGCACTTTTGCGAATACTCATTTTTGCGAAAAGCCAATTTTGCGAAATGTCACTTTTGCGAATTGTCATTTTTTCGAAAAGCTATTTTTGCGAATTGTCATTTTTACGAATTGTCAATTTTCCGAAAAGTCATTTTTGCGAATCGACATTTTTACGAATTGTCAATTTCCCGAAAAGTCATTTTTGCGAATTGTCATTTTTACGAAAAGACATTTTTGTGAAATGACATTTTTGCGAAAAGTCATTTTTACGAATTGCCATTTTTGCGAATTGTCATTTTTAAGAAATGTCATTTTTGCGAATTGTATTTTTACGAATTGTCATTTTTGCGAAAAGTTATTTTTACGAATTGTCATTTTTGCGAAAAGCTATTTTTGCGAACTGTCATTTTTGCGAATCGACATTTTTACGAATTGTCAATTTTCCGAAAAGTCATTTTTGCGAATCGACATTTTTACGAATTGTCAATTTTTCGAAAAGTCATTTTAGCGAATTGTCATTTTTGCGAAAAATACAATAGTGAATTTATAAACCTACAAGTTTTCTATTGTATTCTTGCCAAAAATGACAATTCGCAAAAATGACTTTTCGGAAATTTTACAATTCGTAAAAATGGCGATTCGAAAAAATGACTTTTCAGGAAATTGACAATTCGTAAAAATGGCGATTCGCAAAAATGACAATTCGCAAAAATGACAATTCGTAAAGATAACTTTTCGCAAAAATGACAATTCGTAAAAATAACTTTTCGCAAAAATGACTATTCGCAAAAATGACAATTCGTAAAAATGGCGATTCGTAAAAATAGCGATTCGCAAAAGTGGCAATTCGCAAAAATGACATTTCTTAAAAATGACAATTCACAAAAATGGCAATTCGTAAAAATGACTTTTCGCAAAAATGTCTTTTCGTAAAAATGACAATTCGCAAAAATGAGTTTTCGAAAAATTGACAAATCGTAAAAATGGCCATTCGCAAAAATGACAATTCGCAAAAATAGCTTTTCGCAAAAATGACAATTCGCAAAAGTGACATTTCGCAAAATTGGCTTTTCGCAAAAATGACTATTCGCAAAAGTGCAGTTCGGTAAAATGACATTTCGGAAAAATGACATTTGGGGAATAATCATGCGTCCCGAACCCAAGGTGCGCATGACCTATATACGGGACCGAAGCAGAATGCCAATTAACCTATTTTCACCAATTCGTGCCTGGCTGCCAAATACTAAATACGGTTTGACCGCGACTGACCGTGAGTTGGAAAAAATGGAATATCGACAGGACGCGACCATTTTCGGTCGAACATCGAGCATCACCAGCCAGCATGTGGAAGTTTTCACTGTCTTCACTTATGTAATGCTAATGTTTTGAATAAAATCTGAGCTGTGTTGACAGCGAAAATGCATTAGATAGAAATAAAATTATTTTCAATTAAATTATTTCTTGAAACCAACACCTTACTTTTACGGACCAAAGGCCACAAAATCTTATAAAGTTTATATATAAAAATTAAGGTCCTACAAATAGAAAAATAATTAAAATCTTTAAAAAAAATTAATTAATTCTTTTATGTGTTAAAAGCTATAATTATCCTCTCTCTCTCTCTCTCTCTCTCTCTCTCTCTCTCTCCTCTGTGTGTAATAATCGCGACTCTATTGTTCAGAATAAATAGTAAATTTCGAAAAGGTAAAATAGTAAGCTCAGTTTTGAGCTAGTCGGGGAAGTTTTTATTTTATTATTGCCATCTTGGCCTGGGTAGCTTACCTATATACCTGGCGCCAGATCATCGCTAGTTTTTTTCGAGAACAAAGTGTGGGACTCGTAAATCGGTAATAATTACAATTTTTGTAACGATACGGTAAGTAAAGTTACCAAGAAAACGTGAACACCGTTACAATCTTTAACAATGTTTTTCTCATTGAAGTGAGTTGGCAATTTTGCAATTCTTTTTTATGGACATTTTATTTTCACAAGTTATAATTTTCACTGAATTGAAAATGGCATCTGCTTCAAATATTGAGAAGTGTACTAAGTGTGGTAGAGATATTGCGCGTGTTATTTCCACGTTGTGTTTTGGATGTAAACTTCCTTATCACCCGAGCTGTGCAATGCAATGCAGACCTCTACTTTGCCTGACGGGTCATTTAATCCAAGGTCACTTTCTCCATCAGCTAATTGTCAGTGCTCACAGGTCTTCTATAAATTTAGAGCCCATTATTGACGCCATAAAGCAATTAACACAAACTATCTCCAAAAATTTTACCACAATGTCGGAGAATTTTATGGACATAAATGCCAGAGTTGATGTCCCCCTCTCTGGACTGACTAATATGAATAGAGTAGAGTGGTTGATTTGACGGATCATCTTGCTATTGTTGAGGAGAGACTTGACAAGTATGAGGCGGGATGTTCACAAATAGTTAACCAAGTACTCGAGACTAATGCCTGCATCAATAAAATTGTCGCTCGGTCGGTAATAAAGTGTAATCTAGTTTTGTTTAATCTTCTTGAAGATAAATTTCCAAACAAGGACTCCAACACCTTGAAAGCTATGTTGTCAACAACAAATTTAAAAAGTTTACTAAATCAACTGATCTTGATGGAATTCGAAAATTCAGAACTGGTGCTTAAGCGCAAGTCTCTCAGAAGCAACGCCCTGTGAAGATCGTATGTATGACGGAAGACATTTCAATATAACTGTAATATAACAATAATATTACCGGGTTACTGTGATATTACGTGCTACTTGGGTATGTGCAATATAAAATAATATGAAGGTTAATAGAAAATGTCTTAAGAAATACCTTCAGTAGTAAAGAAGACGATTAAGATTACAACAACAGTGGCGATTCTGCCTAAGTTGATGAGCCTCAGGCAGATTGTAAAATTTACCAAATTTGGTAACGTGGTTTATTGCAGATGAAAAGACACCTCTCTCATAAATTTGTTAAAAAATTTAACTTTTTTAAAAATATTTATTAGGAATCATAAACTGCTCAATGGGCAGTTACAAATAATTTATTATAAAAATAAAAAAGTTGAAAACAAATAAATTATATTATTCGAGGTTTTTATTTTAAGGTTTGATAACATAAAAATAAATAAATTAATGAACTCAAAAAACTACTTTAGTATGTAAAAAAGTGTTGTAAATGGTACTGAAATTATAGAATTTAAAAAAAATTTATTTAATTTTATGTATTCCAATAAGAGATTTAAATAAAAAAAGAAACTGGGTGTGTAAATTCCTCACCATATTCATTAAAAAAATATTTCGCAGAACAACATAGGGTGTAAAAGTTTTTGGAACTATTGACTCCAATAATATTAGATAACAAATTCTAATTATAATATTATATTGAACACATCAGTTTTACAGGATACATACTAACCTACAACTTGTAAATATCCAACTTGGCTTATCATTGGATTAGTGTTAATTTGGCACATGTAGTAGCCCCTATCCTGTTGCTCAACACTTCGAATGTTTAGAAGCCATGTTCTATGATTGTCATTAGTAACACTAAACCTTGCTATTTTTGCTACAACGTGTTTGTGAATAGTTACAAGCATCTGACGATCAACGTGAATCCAGGCAACCTGAAAAAAATTTTATATTTAAAAATTGTAATTGAGTCGATTGTGTTATACTAAAAAGTTCGACTTATTAATCTACGGAAAAATTCTATAAGAATTACTATCGTTTGCTCTAGTAGCTCGTGAAAAAAATCTTTAAAAATCATTTTTCATATTTTAAATTTTAGGTATTAATTCTACTTATTGTTATAATAAATTTAATAAAATCAAAATTTTGAAATGCTGTTTCCAAAAATATTTTATCAAATTTAATAATACGTCGGTTGGGTGCAGAAAGGTGCCATTTCAGACTAGTCGTGATAAACGTGCCGTTTCAAAAAACACGTGAGAAACCTGCCATTTGAACTAAGATTTGAAAAACATGCCAACTCAGAATTGACGTTCATTTTTTTTATTTTAGGTTGACACTTGTGAGTACAGAAAAAATTCGAAGAAAAGGTTATAAAGTTATACAAAAATGATTTTTCTAGTTGCATTTTGCATAATTGTTATTTTTTTGAAAAAGGAATATTTTTGACTAATTTATTGAATTAATTTGTTGATTATTTATTATTTGATAGACAACTTCTTTCTTGTACTTCAAATAAAAAAAATGAACGTCAATTCGGAGTTGGCATGTTTTCCAAATCTCAGCTCAAATGTCAGGTTTCTCAAATGTTTTTTGAAACGGCACGTTTTTCACGACTAGTCTGAAATGGCACCTTTCTGCACCCAACCGACGAATAATCGATATTTACACTTCTACTAATAATTAACATTTTGGTGAAATTTCGATATATTTGTAAAATGTTAACCGCGGTTGTTAACTTGTCTATTTTATAATATTTTATGTCAGAAATTTTTTTAAAAAATACTTCAAATATATATAAAAACATCCTTAAAAGTCCGGAGGTCTAAGTTAATATTTTCCTTTAAAAAAAAATTATTAAAAAGCTCTATTCTTAGGCCTTCTAAAGTAGGATCCCCTCTTAAAAAAAAATTGCGTTTCTGATTTAAATGGGAATATGTCTTAGTTTTCGACTATTTTTTGCTTTAATAAACTATCTGTAACATAGAGAATGGATTAAATTAAAATTCTGCCAAATTATAATTCGATTAAATAAACATTCTGTTAAATTAGGATTATTTCTGATTTTCTTTCTGCTAAATTAATACTCTTTTCTTTTCTGTTTAATTTAAATTCTGCCAAACAAATTTTCACATCAATTAAAATTCAATTAATGTTTAATTTCAGACCCATTACTATTGCGAGTAAATTTTTTATTCTACATTTTAGATTCTTCTAAAATGGTATTCTAGAGAATAAAATTCTATGTAATAAAGATTCTAACAAATTCACTTTAAAGGCCTTTTCATACGCCCCTAGAATTAAAAAAAAATGTTCCAAGCAGAAAAATTGTTAATAAAAGCTTTACCTGAAATTCTCTATATGGTAGGGGGTCACTTTTACCAATTTATTTTTCCCAATCTCTTTTTTCCAAAAATAATTTTATCAGTAACCAATTTTCCCAAAATTTATATTTTCCAAAAAAAAAAAAATTCCAAAACAGAATTTTCCAAAAAAAAAATTTCCAAATATAGTTTTTGGAACATTTGAAACAAAACACATTATACTGCCAGCAGCAAGTTCATGTTGTTTAATTTCCAAATTTAGACTACAGCTGTCACATTATTTTGAGTGTGTAAATTTTTGTTAAAAAGTTCTCAATTCTTGTGACAAAAGTATGGCCGAAATAATTAAATTGAAGACTCAAAATGTTCTACATATTACTGGCTTTTTATATTATAAACATTCAAGTGGATCGGGTAAGACATATTGGATTTGTCGACGAAAAAAGGAGTGCTCAGCGCGGGCAATCACATTCGTTGAGGAAAATGGAGAAATCGGTTTGCAAAAGGGACCAAAGGAGTCGAAACATTCTCATGCCCCAAATATAGAAGAAGTTGAGGCACTAAGAATTGAAAACAGAGTTAAGCGCGCAGCTGAAGAGCATCCCGAAGTTCCTTCTGCTCAAATACTTCGAACAGAATTACGCGGTGTTCGTTCCGGTAAATTATAATTAATTATTATATATATATATAATAATAATATATAATAACGTTATAACGTCAGATTTTAAAACAATATTTTTGGTAAACAAAATTTTCTGGTAAAATTTTTTTTTGGTAACAATACTTTTGGTAAAATTTTTTTTTTGGTAAAATCAGTTTGGAAATGTCAATTATTGGAAAAAATAAAATTGGAAAAACAAAACTTTGGAACTGATGGTTTGGTAAAAGTGACCCCCATTCCTCTATATAAATAACAAAACTGTATTCCTGTTTTTCATCGAACGAATTTTTCATTGTCATATGTTTTTTTGTTTATCTGATGTGTACTGAGTGATTGAATGTAGTAAAAGAATGAATCCTGCATTTACTCTATCTTTCAACTGATCTTAGCTAATAATTTATTTACAAAATAATAAGAAAAGCAACGGGTGAAAACAATACAAATTAATATTTAATGATTGTACCTTATGCACTCCTAAATTTTCAATAATACAAGGCAGACTGACATCCCTTCCAAGTGGTACGGTTACGTTTGGAATTGGTTCGGCAAACATTGGATGTTCAGTAAGAGCTGAAACAAAAAAGTAAAATATAATATAGATTTTGCCGACTCGAAATTTTAATCAATCGTAAAATTACAAAGTTTAAAATTTAGCATTTTCTATGTAGAATAAATGTAGTGACTTTTTTTGGGTGGTGGATTAAAGGGATGAAAACAACCCTAAAATGAAAAGTGACAAGAAATCTATTAAAAATATTAATTTTTTATCAAATTTGGTAGCTAGGGGTTTTTGGGATCGCTGATTTTAAATCTGACATCATATTTGTATTCAGCAACGGTGATAACCCCTAGATATCAAGTTTCATTAAAAATTAATCATTTAAAAGATATCTTGTCACTTTTCATTTAAAGTTTGTTTTCAGCCCTATAGACTTAGGTAATTTGCGAAAACAAAAATATTAAAAATGGATTTTTCCTCTTAATACGAAATTATTATTTTCAGAGTATATATATTTTTTATTTATTTTTGTTGTTTGTTCTTATTTGTTAGTAGTTTTCAAAACAGCAGCAAGACAAAACGATTCAGAATAAAGTTTTGTTCAATGTGATTGAAACGGATTTTGATCATCAAGAGCAATCAGTTGTTGTCGGCCTTGTATAATGGTCGTCTGTTGAAAAAGAAATAATCTTTTTCTGCTAGAAAGCATTGATAGTGTGATTCTCGGATTACACCTACGATTAATGACGACTGTTGATTCTAATGAAGGTTGAGGAAGTAGATCTTTCTTCTTTTAAAGCTGATAAATATTTTTTAGTCACTCATTTGTTTAACAGTTTACTGTTTTCAATGTATTAACAAGTTATAAATTATAGCATAATGTTTATCAATATATAGAAAAAAATGTGACAATCAAAATTAATGTATTTTAGAAAATTGTAGGGTTTTTTTATTTTATTTTTTCATTTTCCTGAAACAATTTACAGTTGATATTAAATTACTTATATCAATAACTAATCGGACACTTCTTGTACCACATTGTTCTGATGAAAGTTGAAAGTCAATTAAAGTTGAATGTATGTAAGTTTATGCTCAATGTATTTAAAAAATCGCACATATAAATTAAACAAAACCCAAAATACTTTTTTAATTATTAATTAAAGTTGTAAGTATTTCTGTATTATTATTAATTTTAAAATATAATTATTTATTATGACAAGCATTACAAGCATTACTCCCGCATTACATTTTGAATTGTATAACAAATTTTGTGCTTTGCACCTGCATTTTTTGTATATAACTTTACTCGTGCAAAAAATATAATAAATACATTTCATATTTTCATTAAATGCGACATCTTCTAAAAAGTTGTTATAGTCTCCCTTGGTCAAGTGCGTCTAGGCGCCTCCCAATACAGTTGGGCACAAATGGTTGAGAGTTCAAGTCTTGAGAGTTTACTCAAGATGCAAAGTTTTCGACAATGATTTAGAGATATAATAAGTTAATTCCCATCATTTTTATATAAAATTAAAGTAAACTGTAACACATTATGAATTTATTTTAATAACATTAGCAATAATAAGAATTAATAACATAATTGGTGAAAAAACCTGTAACTAACATGTTACTAACGATCAAAATCACAACCTTCCCGTTTACAGGGTAAGTATTTTTTCGATAATCATAAGATGTAATAGACGAGAAATAGAGAAGATATTTTGAAAAATGTCTTTGCCCCGCCTAGTTCTTTTTCCCCATAAGTTTTGTTCTAAAATCTATCACGATATAGAATTGAAAGTGGCAAACGTGGAAATTGAAAGTGTTTTGTGTAAACGATAACTAACACTTTGATGCATAACATGTTTTGCTGGAAAAACATTAGACTCGCTATAATTGGAGAATATCTCTAAGTTTAATCACGAACGATTGTTTGTACTAATTACTATTTATTTTTTGTAAGATTAGGTTACCCAGTTCACTCCAGATAGAAGATATATCGATCCAGAAATACAGCAGGCAGCACTGAAAAAGGAAGAAAAGGCTGCACGTCCTTCTACATCCGATCATGTAGCAAAATTGTGTTTCATTGTACGTGACAATGGTAACGAAGGCGGACTTTGTGTTGCCGAAGGGTTATCGGATAATGATGAACCGGGCAACTAACTTGAAACTAACCCTTTAAGTCATAGTAATAGTAGCCTCCTTTTTATTGGTTTAGCTCTGACTGGCATATAGATCAGAAAGCATTATAATGCTGCATTTGTATTGAGAGCGTGTATCAAGACCACGCAGAGACTAGAGAGAACTACGTGGAAGTAGTGGACGAGAGTATGAGAGGAATGTTTCAGACTCCATTACTCCAATTGGAGTGGGAATACCGGGAGGTCCCTAAACACCCCCTCATATTTCGGACAAACACTCTAACCCATCGACCGGTCCAGTTTGTAAAAGCAAAGGTGTATACTCTCCCATACCTACATTCTAGTTTTGCTCTTTCTCAGTTTTTATATATCTTATCGCCTTAACAAATTTTTAATTTGTATTCAAATATTATTGTAAATAGTTCTTCACAATATTAATCCATATTCCTTAACAGTAACTAGTTTCTACAAAAAAAACCTTTAAGCCACTGGTTTTAAATCTTAAAAATTTATTTTACATCATCAGAAAGATTTTATTTTGCAGTTCCATAGGCAATCCTATTTTTGTTAAAATAGTTATAGAACTATTCACGAAAGGCCTATCAGATTGATAAAACAACAATTTTTACCTTAAATTCTTTTTCTTAGAATATAAGATCATCTGTACTTTTTTGTTTCCTTAAAAAATCTGCTGCTTTGAGCACGTTTCGCTACTGAAAAGCAACCCTAACGGATATTGTTATCCCTAATCAATGACTATAGATTACTCTTCTCTTTACGCTTCTGAAGTAAATTTGGTTTTTACGGAACTTTACCATCATCAAAGATTCGAACCTACAGAACAAATAGGGAATAACAAATTCTCAATATTGAATTTTAAAAATCTGATAATATATTTGTATTCAAAACCCCCAGAAACTCCCAAATAAGAATTTTCAGGCGAATCTGCGGTCAATGTAAAAAATTTTTTTAGACAGAAAGAAAATTTCTTCGGAAATTCTAACATTTACTTCAAATTAGTTTTAAGTTTTATGAAAGTTATTATATTTTGAAGTCGATGGGACGTATGAGTCCCATTGGCCGTTAAAGGGTTAATAGTAATTAAGACACTTTCTATGACATTCAAGGCAGTGCAATAAATTTTAATTGACTAGGAACACTAAGGTTTTCCCACTTGAAAATTCTTGTACAAGTTTAGTTTCAAGTTTATGTATGGAATCATGTCAATTTTCATACATAATTTCCCGTAACAGAAATTGAAATAGTGGAATAGTACACAAGATCGTACATGATTAATTACAACAATTCTTCTATTCAAGATCATTTACTAGTTCAAGTATGTATCTGTAAACCAGTTCCTACATGAAGAAAAAGTGTCTTAAATTCTAAATTAATTTTATATTTTGTTGACTTTGTACTATAAAATCATCAATGTTTCGAAGACATCATAAAGACAACTAAAAAACATTAAGACATTCTACGTTTGATCTAACAGACGTCCAAAAAGATGTTTAAAAAACATCTAAAAGGACTTTTGAAAAATATGGAAAAACATTAAGAAGACGTTTTTTTACGTCCCTGAGATCTTTTTTAAACACACACCCTTCTTTCACAAAATTCTTTAAGTTTAAACACAATAAAGTTGCATTAAATTTTTAAAAAGTATATCTGGAGTTTCCAAAAATAACTTTTATCTTAACAATTTTTAAATTCACCTTAAACTTTTTTTTGTGGCAAAGTACAAAAGACATCCGCAAAAAAACGGTCCATAGAACGTCTTTTGAACGTCAGACATGCGTTTAGATGTATATCTAAAACATTTTTAAAAAAATGTATTTACCCTCACTTAAAAACTCTTGTTTTTTTTAATTTTACTTTAAAATTAAATTCTTCGAACTAGGTAATGTAGACAAAATCCATGAAATTGAAATCCATTAGGACTTTTTTGTAAACAAATGTTAAGAAATATTTCAAAATTGTGTTCAAATTTTTCAGCAAATGCTTTAAATTTCATCAAATTCAAGCAAATGCTACTGATTTTTAATTTTTTTTTCGCCATTTTGGACTCGCCATTTTGAAATTTTACGTGTTAGAGAAAATCTAACGACAGATTCGAATTCAGAGCGTAAAAAATACTTTAAAAAACGTTCTTACTTTTCCGGGTCCGAAAGTTGACACAAATTTGTTTTCAAATTTGATTATTTAAAAATTTTAAGAAAATTCTGTTTGAAAATAATAAGAAAAGTTTTTAGAAACTTTTCTTATTCACTCTTGGTTAGAAAAAATTGTAAGAGTTTTAAAAATTATCTTAACTTTTTTCAATTTTTTTCTAACCAAGAGTTAAGAAAAGATTCTAAAAACTTTTCAAACTTTTCTTTCAAACAGAATATTCTTAAAATTTTTAAATAAACAAATTTGAAAATAAATTTGGGTCAACTTTTGGACCCGGAAAAGTAAGAACGTTTTTTAAAGTATTTTTTACGCTCTGAATTCGAATCTGTCGTTAGATTTTCTCTAACACGTAAAATTTAAAAATGGCGAATCTAATATGGCGGAAAAAAAAATAAAAAATCAATAGCATTTGCTTGAAACGTGTTCCTGGGTAATATTTGGGGTCGCTGATTACAAATATGAAGTCAGATTTTAAATGGCGGACTGAATATGGTGGACAAGAAAATAAAAAATTAATTTGATTAACTTGAAAATTGTTATTAGGGGGTTTTTGGGGTCGCTGATGCCGAATAGTAAGTAAATGACACAATATCTTTCAAGTAAATCCGTTATATTTTTAATATTTTTTTTCCCGCCATATTGGATCCGCCATTTTGAATTTTTTAAGTCTGACTTTAAATTCGAAATCAGCGACCCCAGAAACAAACAGAAATTACAATTTTATTATAAATTAACAGCTATAACTATAAACTAGATAGGTAATTGTTATACCTATAGATACATAAATAATTAAATTATAATTATTTTGTATAATTTTTTTTTAATTTTGTTGAATAAATTAACTTAACAATTTTTACACAATATAATTAAAGTAAACCACTTCTTTATCACACAAAAACAACTTTAAACAATTCACTTCACAACATCAAAGTTTTAACGTAAAAATATTCATTTTAACACTAGTACATTTTAGTCTTTTAGAACGATATATAGCTTACAAAGAAACTCAATTCACAACAAAATATTAACTTTAAGATAATTCTATCAAGCTCGGGTTTTTGACAAATGCTAAAGAGCAACTGACACTCGGTAAGTTTATTCTTTATTCTAATGAATATTCCTTCCCAGGTGGAAAAATTCGCGTGAGTTTCTCACGTGAGACTCGCGTGAGTATCTCACGTGAGATTCGCGTGAGATTCGCGTGAGTATCACAAAAAATTTGCTTGAGTATCACATGAGTATCTCACCCTACAGACTTACGCAAACTTGTGTCGATATTGCATAGCAATATTGCAAAAATTTCCGAACAATGTATACACAACATTGACTCAACATTAATTATGTCTGCTCTGCCCGAGATTAATTATGTCAACATTGTCAGGCTATATTTAAGCATAATTAAGACAACATTGTATGGAAATGTTATAATATATAAAAATATAATAATACTAGGGGGCTCCGCCCCCTGCTATTCTTTTTATTTATTTCAATTTTTATAAATTTCAAATCAGGTTAATGAGGAATTTATTAGGCCATGGGGCCTACTTTTGACCGGGGGGTCGATTTTGTAACTTTCCCACTCCCACTTCCATCCTCTTACTTTCCACTCTCACTTATATTTCCCACTTTTAGTCCCACACCCACTTCCCAACTTCCACTTATCACTCTTATTTCCCACATCCACTTTCCACTCTCACTACCCATTCTCACTTTTTACTTCCCATTCTCACTTCCCACTCTCACTTCTAGTTCCCACTTTTACTTCACACCTTCTACTTTTCACACACACTTTCTACTCATACCTTCTACTTCCTACTCCTACTTCCTACATTATGTATTTTTGCACTTCCCACTCTCACTTATTATCTTCCACTTTGACTTCCTAACTTCTAGTTTTTATATCTTCTTTTCACTTTTACGCCTTGTTGACACTCACACTTTCAACCTTACACTCATAATCGTTAATCAGGTATTTTCATTTAAAAGTAAGAGTGGTGTGTAAGAGTAGAAGTGGGACGTGAAAGTGTGAAATTGGAGTGAAAAGTGAGAGTAGAGTGTGAATGTTAAAAGTAGAAAGTAAAAGTGGAATATGGAAAGTCAAAGTCGGAATAGAAAGTGGAATAATATAAGTGGAAGGTGATAGTGGAATGTGGGAAGTGGGTGTGGGTAGTGAGAGTGGAAAGTGGAAGGTGGGAAGTGAGAGTGAAAAGTGAGAGTGGGAAGTGGGAGTAGGCAGTGAGAGTGGGAAGAGGAATGTGGGAAGAGAGAGTGGGAGTGGGATAGTTACAGAATCGACCCCCTGTATGTAAAAATTGTCCAAAATTGGTATAAATAAACACTTATCGTAACGGTTCTTTATGGTGCCCTTATAGGTCCTTCTTTTACCTGGTAGGTAAAAAAGTAGGTTACATTTTCCCTAATGCGAATTTGTAGGAATGATTTACAAAATCTGTAAAATAAAATATACCATCCTAAAAATAAAATTTAATATAGCTTTTTTAAACCCCTTCCTTAGGGATCAATAAGTCATTAAAGAATAGTCATCAACTTGTTTGGGAAAGATTACAACAAAACGGGGTTTCTCTGGTTGGCTTCTTCGGAAAAGTGATGTTCAGATAATTTTATTTTATCGATTTTTGTGAAGTTAACCTAAAAATGGTCAAAAAGAAAGTTTTCACACAGATGTTCTTGTCATTTCCGGTCAATTTTTTTAAAAAAGTTAACCTCATAATACAAAAATCAACAAAAACAAAATCGCGCAAGTTTGGTCCTTGCTAAAACCCAGTTTTAAACGGTGCAAAGTAGGGAAATTTCTCCATGGGAACACCCAGTTTTCTAATTGATGTTCAGGTCGTTGCAGGATGCCTTCTTTGAGATAATATTATTCGTCTAATGTTGAGATACTTTCTGGTTGACTTATTTATAAAGAAGTTGAACTCAAAATGTAAAATATTTTAACAACAAAGTACCAATGTAATCTTCTATGTAGAAATTTATTCCTGCCAATTCTTAAGGGATTTGACTTCAAACTATGAAAATCATTAACAAAAAATTAGCTATAAACTATTGCCAAATTTTGCCGGTCTTGTCTTTTTAACAGTTCAATTTTCTACATCCCTCTGTATGGAACGCGCAAGAATTTTTAACCATGTCTAGTGATTCTATGTAAATATGTGAATGTAATATATATGAAAACGTGAGTCGTAGGTACTCTAAATGCAATAAATCAAAGACAGTTTTATAAATGCGTAATTTTGTGTTTTAAGAAATAAATCACATAATTTTTATTAAGGAACAATTGAAAGGAAAAGTGATTCATATTTTTTAATGCATATCTTGCAGAATAGGGAATAAAAATAGCAAAAATATCACTAAAATCAACATGTCAAAAAACTATTTTAATTTGAAAATCCAAACATTTTGAACACAATTTTTAGAGTAAAACACAAACATTTTCAATTCATTTTGTTTCTCATCTCGCGAATTTTACTGCGAATGCTTGATTTAATAATCTGGTCATCTACAGGTTTCCAGTTCACTCTTTTGGCAAACGAGCGAGAGTATTCTGTAAAAAATTGGTTTAATTTATGAAATTATATTAAATGAAAGTGAAAAGTATTATGCGAAATGTAAAAAGTGGAAGGTGATAAGTGTAATGCGGAAAGTGAAAGTAGAATGCGAAATGTAAAAAGAGCAATGCAGAATGAGAAATGTAGGAAGCGGAATAAGGAAAGTGGAATGTGGAATCTGAAAAAAATGGAATGGAAAATGTGTAAAGTAAATTGCGGAAAGTAAAAAGTAAAATGCGTAATAGTTTTGTGATTGTCACACTTGCTGGAAAATTTACTAGAAGAGGGACATTTCGATAAGTTGAGGAAATTTACTAAAAACTTCCGGAAATCCTGGTAGTAACTGACATAATAGTGGAAAATAGAATATTTATTTGTAAAAGGAGAAAAGTATAATATTTTATGTGCTTTTGATACTATAGCGAAAAAATAATAAGGGGAAATAAATAAATAAATAAATAAAAAATAAATAATAATAAATAAATTATTATTATAATAATAAGGGGGGATAAAGGAAAAGAAGGTGAATTAGATCTAAAAAGGGATCCCTAGATCACATAAGAAACTTACTTAAAATTTTATTAACTGCATCTTGTTTCTGGTCCTTTTCTTCCTTTGACAAACTTTTAGATAATAGAACCTCTTCTTTAATTGTAGAAATTAAAAGAAATCTACATAATATTGCTTGGGAAGTTGATTTTTTCTTTGCATCATTGAAAGCAGTTTTGTCTATGTAAAGGTCACTCTCTGGATATAATTCGACAGCCTAAAATTTGATTTTAATTAATTATGGAACTATTACACTTAAAAAAATTTATGGCATAATGGTTTAATAAGAGAGTTCAGTTTTTGTAGTGAATTTTTTATAAATGAATTACAGTACTAGTCTAATTGCGAATTTTAAGAAATTTAAGGTTTTTTAAAGACATTATTTCTTATGTTTTTGAATTTAGAGAGACAAAAAGAGATAGGTATAAAAAACGAGAAGTATGAATAGAGAACAGAGAAGGTTTAACAGAGAATAGCAGAAGGGAAGAAAAAAGTAGAACATTGAAGAGACATAAAAGGAGAGAAAAGAGCGATAGAAGAGAAACAAGAGAAAATTGAAGTTGACAGTGCGAAGGAAGAAAATGCAAGATAGGAGAGAAAAAATGGAATAAAGACCCGTGTAGAAATTAAAAATAGGCTTTAATAAGGCCCTGAATAGATGCCCTTTCGAAAGTGAGACGCAAACTAGGAAAATTCGTCAGGACATGTCTAATTTCGTCACGCTTGGATTATCAGGTGATGATGTGGAAAAATAGACAGGTTCTAACTAGATCGCCTTGTCAGTGCCTGAGTAGAATATCAGAATGTGTGAATTCAACTAGAGGCATTCTAGCCAGGGCCTGATTGAAATATTTAAAAGGGACATAAATAGATCCAGTTAGATTTCCCTATCTGAAAAAGAGGGCATTCTAGTCAGTGCCCGATTATCACCTATCTAGAAATTTCTAGTGTGGTTGACTTTACTAATTCCTCATCAGCGCCCCTTTTCAAGTAAGGCGAAGTAGGGAAATTTCTACACGGGGAATAGTGGAGGAAAGAAAATTAAAAAAATGGTGGAAAAAATAAAGAGGACAAAGATAAAAGAGGATAAAGGATAGGAATTGATAAGACTGAAGAAAAAAAATTAAGGTGGAAGGAAATGAACCGAGCAAAAGAAGAAAACAAGCAAATAAAAAAGGTAGAAGAAAAATAAACGAAAAGAAAAAACGAAAAGAGAAATGAAAATATCTATACGCAAGACTTCTTGCTAAATCTATTATGCACTATATTACCTGATCATTTGCAGTCTGCTTTGTAAATAAAAAAATATTTAAGTCTGTGTTATTAACTGCGTTCGGGTCAATATCATCTTCCGTTTCTAAAATGTTATCTTCAGAATGGTTGTCCAAAGTCGGTCTTAAAGAATTAGAAGGTGGTTCTTCAATCGTAGAATGATATTCAGTCAAAGAAGAAAGTTGACCCTCAATAAAAGGACGAAGCTGATTTTCAGTCGTAGGATCATCTTGTTTTTGATTCGAAGAAGATGACTGCCCTTCATTGACAGGTCGTGGCATTTTTTCAGTCGAAGGATCATCTTGTTTTCGATTCGAAGAAGATGTCTGCCCTTCAAAGACAGGTCGTGGCAGATTTTCAGTCGAAGGATCATACTGTATTTGATTCGAAGAAGAAGGTTGTCCATGAATGACGAAAGTCGACGTTTCACCGGTATCAAGATGAATTAGCTCCGAACTTTGATCTGACAGGAAATCTTCTAATGACTGAAACAATTTTTATATTTTAATATTATAACAAAATTAAAATTGTACGTATTATTAATAACTTCAATCTAATAAATTTATAAAAAATTATTGAAAAATTCGTTACAAATTTTGTCAATATTCAAAAATTAAGCAAATGTTGAAAGTTAATTTTAGGTTAGGTACATTTTTATTTCTCGTTAAAAATTTTTTATAATTCTACTTTTGAAGTATACTTATATAAAATGTATAACAATGATATAGTTTATTTATAATTTTAATGTATACTCAAAAACATAAATATAGAATTATCTTACTATTTAAATTAGTTTTTTTAAATAGCTTCTATATTCCCAGGTAAAAATAATTCTTACGAAATTCGTACGATTTTTTTTACAAATTTTGTTCAGAAATCCGGCCAGATTCGTACAGAATTCCTATCAAATTCGTATGGAATTCCGCACGAAATGAAAGCTAAAAAGTTCCTCAAAAGTTTTCGGCTGAAATTCGAGCGAATTACGAACGGATTTATTTTGGAAAATTTTTTATAAAATTCTGCTCGGAAATTCGTACGGAAATTCCGCCGAAAATTTTTGAAGGAATTTTTAGTTGCCATTTCATGCGGAATTTCATACGAATTTCTAAGCAGAAATTTTATAAAAATTTTCCAAAAGAAATCGATTCGTAATTCGTTCGAATATCATACGAATTTCGTATGGGAATTTCGCCGAAAATTTTTGAACAAATTTTTGGCTTCCATTTCGTGCGGAATTCCATACGAATTTCCCAGCAGAATTTTATAAAAAATTTCCAAAATAAATCCGTTCGTAATTCGCTCAAATTTCACACGAATTTCGTATGGAAATTTCGCTAAAAACTTTTGAGGAAATTTTTAGCTGATATTACGTGCGGAATTCTGTACGAATTTCCGAGCAGAATTAAAAAAAAATTTTCAAAATAAATTCGTTCGTAATTTGATTGAATTTCCCACGCAGTTCGTAAGGAAATTCGGCCGAAAATTTTTAAGAAATTGTCAATAGAATTTCCGTGTCAATTTCCATACAAAAAAATTTCACATATCCATTAAAATTAACGATAATGTAGAAAAATTGTAATAAATTATTCATTTTTAAATATTTTTTCTATTTAAAACGCTCTGTTTGTAATTAAAGTCTATTTCAATAAGAAAATTCAAACGTTTTGGTAATTTTTTCAAATAAAAAAATTTAAATTAAATATCATCAAGGTTAGGCCAAAATATTTTTTAAATTGTAAATTCTTTGGTAATAAATTTCACTTCCTTAAATTGGACAGTGATAAACTTATTTCTAAGGACTTTAATATTTGGAATATGTGTTTATGTCAATTTTTTTGAAAAATAGATTTATCAACTTTTAAAAATTGCTTAAAATAAAATATAAATAATAAATAAAGTGCTAAATCATTTAGTAAATTATTGAACCATGTAAAAAATTGATCGAACTTGTACTATTTCAGATTTGTAGAGTAGTAAAAATTAATACTTATTACCTTTTTAGCTTTTTCCAAGGTAGGTGTTATATCTTTTGCTAAACGTAAAGCAATATTAATATTGTTTAGTGCATAAGATAATGTAGAGCATTCCAAAGTATCCATATCCAAAGTTTTCAATATCTCCTTTGCACTAGAAATGTTTGCTTCTTTGCGCAGAAGTTTCTGATTTATTTTCTGAAAATCATATTTAATAATTACTTAGAATTTCTTTTATAATCTTATAAAATTCAGTAAAATAAAATTTTTTTATCACCTTTCTTATTAGAAATAATGAACTTATGATGAGTATCAACAAAATTTAAAAACAATTTTTAATAATAGAAAAGAATCGTTGAAATAATAAAATGGAGATTTGTTTAATTGCAATATCAAAACTAGTAATAATCATAATATTAATAAGAATACCTTCTGAGGATTGTCATCTGACAGTGCTTGATTTTTTTTACAGCTTGTTGTGGATTTTTCGTTTCTTTTTCTTTTTAAACTTCTTGTTGCTTCTTGTAATTTTTGAGTTTTTAATTTTAGCAAATCTGCTTCATTAGCTGAAATAAACAATGAAAACATTTCTTAACTACAAATTTCATGAGTGAACGATTGTGACTTTAACCTTAAAAATTATAGTATATAATTTCAGGGAATTAAATTGAAGTTTGATTTTTAACAGATAAATAATACTTACTTGAGATTCCAACTATTTTCCCAGAATACTTTTTTTTGTGTCGTGCACGCTCTGGCCACAAATAATTGATAGTTGATCCAACCTTTAACTCCACTATTTCATTCTCATCAACAGCAATTGAACTTTTTTCAATTATGGTAAAATAACCATCGCCTTCCAATAAATATTGTTCCATTTTTACCAAGTAATAAAAGACCGAAAAAAGAAATTGGAAAATGTCAACTTTATCTTTGACAACATACAACAAAACACTTGGTTACCTTGGTTTCCTTGGTTACCAATTAAACGTTATGTTAACAACGTTCAAGTGATTACGGATTTTAATTTGAATCTTCTTCAAAGTAAAATTTATTCTCTTTGTTATAAATCAGTGGAAAACTTTTAGACCAACGTGTAAATAATTTATATTGTAAGTATAAGCAACAAATTTATAATTATTAGTTTTTATAAATTTAAATAGTTACATTATTTGAGAATAAAATTTTTGATCATTCTTGTCATAGAGGCCAAATATCATACTACTATTAATTATTATTTTTGATATTATTATTATTATTATTTATATTATTATTATTATTATTTATATTATTATTATTATTATTATTATTATTATTATTATTATTATTATTATTATTATTATTATTATTATTATTATTATATTATTATTATTATTATTATTATTATATTATTATTATTATTATTATATTATTATTATTATTATTATTATTATTATTATTATTATTATTATTATTATTATTATTATTATTATTATTATTATTATTATTATTATTATTATTATTATTATTATTATTATTATTATTATTATTATTATTATTATTATTATTATTATTATTATTATTATTATTATTATTATTATTATTATTATTATTATTATATTATTATTATTATTATTATTATTATTATTATTATTATTATTATTATTATTATTATTATTATTATTATTATTATTATTATTATTATTATTATTATTATTATTATTATTATTATTATTATTATTATTATTATTATTATTATTATTATTATTATTATTATATTATTATTATTATTATTATTATTATTATTATTATTATTATTATTATTATTATTATTATATTATTATTATTATTATTATTATTATTATTATTATTATTATTATTATTATTATTATTATTATTATTATTATTATTATTATTATTATTATTATTATTATTATTATTATTATTATTATTATATTATTATTATTATTATTATTATTATTATTATTATTATTATTATTATTATTATTATTATTATTATTATTATTATTATTATTATTATTATTATTATTATTATTATTATTATTATTATTATTATTATTATTATTATATTATTATTATTATTATTATTATATTATTATTATTATTATTATTATTATTATTATTATTATATTATTATTATTATTATTATTATTATTATTATTATTATTATTATTATATTATTATTATTATTATTATTATTATTATTATTATTATTATATTATTATTATTATTATTATTATTATTATTATTATTATTATTATTATTATTATTATTATTATTATTATTATTATTATTATTATTATTATTATTATTATTATTATTATTATTATTATTATTATTATTATTATTATTATTATTATTATTATTATTATTATTATTATTATTATTATTATTATTATTATTATTATTATTATTATTATTATTATTATTATTATTATTATTATTATTATTATTATTATTATTATTATTATTATTATTATTATTATTATTATTATTATTATTATTATTATTATTATATTATTATTATTATTATTATTATTATTATTATATTATTATTATTATTATTATTATTATTATTATTATTATTATTATTATTATTATTATTTATTATTATTATTATTATTATTATTATTATTATTATTATTATTATTATTTATTTATTAAAGGAACGAACAAATTTTTTGATTAAAATAAAAGTAAATAATTAATTAAATTTTAATAAATTTCTTTTTATGGTTATTAGTCCTAAATGGAAAAAATAATAAAAATCAAACACTTCTTACTACTTAATTATGTACGAAAATAATTTAGTTCTAATACAAATTTTAGGATAAGAACTCCGGAACTGATTTGCATCCACGTAGACCGTCAAAAATAAGCATGGATGAAAACGAAGATGCGGACTTTATAGACGAAGTAAGTAATTTTATGCTTTATATGTATAATATGTGATTAACAATACAATTTATAATCAATTTTCATTGATTATAAATAATTTTTTAAAATCTAAATAATTTTTCGCTCCTTGTCGCAATGCAAAATAAACAAGAAGCTACTATTTTTCATAAATTCTTAATCACATTCACTCATTAAAAGCGAAGTATCAGCAAAATCAGTAATATTATTTTTAATTCTGAGAGTCCACTCTCACAATAACTCAAAAAATATTATTATTGTTATCAATAATAATAATAATCATTCAAACAACGGGACTTTCTTTATCGACTATGAAGATTCTTGAACAGGGATGCTATTCTGTAATTCACGCTGACTTTTATTTCAGCCTTACTATGTCTCACTCTTATTTAACCCTCATCTCACTCTTATTTCACTCACACTTTCACTAACTCACATTATCCCTCTCATTTCACCCTGACGATAACTTCATTTTCACTTTCACTCTCACTTCCCCTCACTATCATTCTCGCTTATCACTTACTTTCTCTCTCAATGTCATTTTAACCTTCAAATGGAGTTAGAAACACTCTTATTTCACAATCACTTTCACTCTCAATTCACCCGCACTTTCAAATCAAATGACTTTCATATCACTCTTATTTTATACCCTCACCCTTACTCTTCCTTTCCTTTCACTCATAATTTCACATACGTTTCAAGTTAACTTTTTCTCTCATTCACACACTAGCTTTAAATAACTTTCACTTATTTCATTTCCTATTCCCCTTACTTTCTTCCTCACTCTCACCTTCAGCCTTACTTTCTACTACTCTCACTCTTAACTTCAAATGGCTTTCACATCACTTTTATTTTACCCTTACTCTCTCACATTCTTATTCTAACTTCAAAATAAATTTTGCTCACTCTTACTTTACCCTCACTTTTACTTCATTCTTACACACACATTCACTCTCATTTCACTCACTATAACTCTCGAGTCCCAAAGCTTACGCTCTCACTCTTTCTTCAAATAACTTACACTTACTCTCATTTTTACTTCACTCTGACTCTCACTTTCTCTCCCGCATCACTCAAACTTTAAATGTTTTTTTATCTCTATCACTTCACCCTTACTGTTACTTCATTCTCACTTACACTACCACTCTCGCTTCACCCTTACATTCACTCTCACTCTCATTACTTACATACTTTTACTCTTGATTTCCCAAACTTACTCTCTCACTCTAAATTCAAGTAACATACATTTACTCTCAATTTTACTTCACTCTGACTCAGCTTCCCTCTCGCTTCACTCTTACTTTCTCTTTCACTCAAACTGCAAATGACATTTGCTCACTATCACTTTACCTAGACTGTTAACTCATTCTCACTTACACTTTCACTCTCGCTTTATCCTTACTTTCCCTCTCACTCTCATTTCACTCGCTATAACTCTCGATTTCTCAAACTTAGTGTCATACTCTATCTTTAAATAACTTACACTTACTCGCATCACTTACTTCCTCTATTACTCAAACTTTAAATGAGTTTGGTTCACTGTTACTTCATTCTCACTTACACTTTCACTCTCGCTTCACCCTAACTTTCACACTCATTTCACATTCACTTTCACTCTTAATTCTCTAAACTTACTCTTTCACTCAAACTTCAAATGACTGTTGCTCACTATCACTTTACCCTCACTTTACCCTTACTTTTCCTTCCCCATAATTCAAATGAGAGTGAGTAAGAAAGTCAGGGTGGTGCTAGAGTAATAGTCTGTAAGTGTGCAGTGAGGGTAAAGTGAAGAATGTGTAAAAAAACGTGGTGTGTGAGTGAGTGAGTGAAATTGAGAGTGAAAGTTCTGGCTAAGTAAGAATAATTCTGAACTAAAAACGAGTGAATGTGAAACTAATTAAATATTAAAAGGGTAAAATGTATATGAAAGTAAAGATGAAGTGAGAGAGTGAGTGTTAAGCGAAACTGAGAGTGAAATAAAATTAAGGGTGATGTGGATATGAAAATGAGAGTGTGTGTGAAATGGAAGTGGATTTAGAGTAAAGTGAAGTTACAGAATAGCATCCCAGTATGAACGAACCAAATATTGGCGAGCTAGTGTTGGGGAAATAAAAATCCGATGGTCAGTACCGCAATATAATAGATTTTCTGCTTGGGGGTTTTAACAAAAACATCAACATCAAAATACCAAGATATTTTTAAGTAGAGCAATAGTTATTAAAGAAGCTCCAACTAGCACACAATTATCAACACCCATTGTATTTTGGACAATCAATTTTAAAGTGTAATATTTTTTTGCGTAAAACCAACATAAAATGTTGAAAAATAAAGTGTGTGCTGATGATTGGGTATAAGTTGCAGCTACATTGATTTCTGGGATTACTATATGTCTGTAAACATTTTCTTTTATAGGATCCCGACAATGGCTCTGGTTTCACAGAAGATAGTTGGTCAACAACATCGGATAATTTAGCTGACAATTCTTCGACTGGTCAACTTTCAACCTCATCATTGTCGTTGACATTAAACTCAAGTAATAGAGCTTCTGTAGAAATTGATGATTTGTCAACATCGGATGTCTTAGTTAGTTCTCCTGCTTCGACTAGTATTAATTCACTCTTATTATCACCATCGAGATCCGGCTCAAATAGTAGCGCTGCTTTACAAGAAGCTATTTTGTCTCTTGCTTCGATTGATTCTACCGCTTCGAATAGTCAACCATTATCCGATAACGCAAATGTGTCTATTAGTAATTTTGAATCACTTTCCGGGATGAATGATCTGTCTAATGTTTCTTCAAGTGTATCAATCATTTCTAATACTTTTGCAAATTCTGTTCTTTCGGAATTTGAAATTAGCACCGACGAAGATAAAGAATTTACAAGTGAATGGCTATTTTTACCACTGTATGAAGGAACAGACACGTCAAATGGGGATGTTTTACGCCAAATACTGGATATTCATATTTCCAGTGCAGGAACAAAACAAATTTTGGACAAGACAATACAACTTATTGTATCTACATTGCCACCAGGAGCCAGTAATTTCCCGAAGTCGAGATATTTTGTTTTAAAAATTATAAATCAATTAATGCCTCATTCGTTCTCTGAAACATTCATCAGACACAGGATCTGTGATGTATGTTTTAATTATATAGGTAAATTGGATCTAATCCCACGAAACACAACCTGCAACGT